ATGCTGATGTATGTGTGTGTGTGTGTGTGTGTGTGAGTGTGAGTGTGTTTGTGTGCGTGTATGTGTGCGTTTGTGTGTGTGAGAGAGAAAGAGTCTTCACATGGTTCTAAAACCGCTCATGCGCATATATTAAGGGTTCCAAGTGTAATAGACATTATGTCCCCGAAGCGAAATACAATATGACGTGATACATATATTATGTGTGTGTTTTTATTGACATATTTTTGAGCCAGTCATTGTTGTTGTGTTGTTTTTTTTATTATTGTTATTATTCCTCGTTCCATTTTATAATATTCCTAAATAAACGTGCTTGGATAAAACTCTCATTGAACAATGACATTATTCATTAGTGTATTGATTGATTGAATCTATTAACCGTTATTTAAAACGTATCAAAAATAAATTTAAAATAATTTAAAACTTTTCCCCTGAATTAAGTTTCTCACACGTTCAAATAATATACACTGACCTGTATTAATTATTATTGTTCCATAATATACAGGCACTTTATTACAGAATCCGTTTTTCATATTGTTTGCTTGATTTTTGTACTGATTATTTGAAATATAATTCCTACAACCTAGTATCGTTGGCGCAGGTTATATTTAAATTCATTTTCTAATTGATCATTAAGGACGATGTAATTTAAATATTTTTACATCTGTGTGCCTATTTGAAATTAATCAGCTACCTTATATAAAATCGACTATATAGTTCTTAACTCATCTCGAAGAAGAATATTAGTTTCCTTGTTATTTATTCAAAATGTAGTTGGCCTGTTTTAGATAGACATAATATGACATTAAGTCCAATAGACGACCATATTATAACTATACAAAATCGATGTAATAAGCTCTATAATTTTTAATAACTATATTGTATTAACTTATCATCTTAGCATATGAATGAAAAAAAATAATAAATATCAAATTAAGTGGTTTGTATGATGATAAAATAAGTTTTTGGTAATTTATCTACAGCGTTTATGAATAATGTAAACATTAAAAAAATATAAATATATTTAGTACAAAAACAAATATGTCTCTGTTTACAAAATAATAATATGAACTAGATACTCGAAATATCATTAAAATTATTTAATTTTTCGAAAGGTTAAAGTTAAAAGCATGAGAAAAAGGCTTCACTTAAAATCTAAAAGTAAAATTTTTTTTTAATGTATGATGATGTATTTAATATGGAAATATATGTAACAAGTATATTGATACAACGTTTTTTATTGTTTAAGGTTCTTAATGTTTTTTACTCCAGTAGGCACACATTTTTTATTTTAAAGTACTAGACATTAAATAGGTAATGTATAAATAAATTTAGATGTATGTATTATAATATTTACATAACTTGGATGAGGAACGTATGAAATCGGGATGTAAATAAAATGAAATAATGACGAGAATACATTATTTAAAAAACTTTTTTCAGTGAACTCTAATTAAATAATAATTAATCGTATGCTAATCGTCTGTATACCCCGCAATAGGATATTGGTATACAGAAGAAAATACACGCTATTTCGCTTGTAGACTTTGAATAATACAGTCTGTTATAATAAATTTGAATTGCTTATACTTAATGCACACCGTCAGGTCTATAAACTCGGTCACGCTCTACTGGATTTGAAAGGTAAAGCACATTATTTAGAACAAGTATCGGTTTGACTATTATTATTTTAATAATTCCGAACGCGTTCTGACAAACGTAATATTTGGGTACCAATTACATTTTTGAATCGCTGCTAATCGAGATACCGGATGCGGCATAGGTACCCATCGTTTTGTTACACATCCGCACTGTCGAGTGTATATAAATATTATATATTTTGACCGTTTACGTTTAGAACATTTCATTTTCTCTATTGTACGCCATGCCCATGCCCAGTTTATTTTTACCAAAGATGAATTATACGCCCAACATCTTCGCCCATGTCCAGACGATTATTTACGACCGTTAAGTAGGTCCTTGCATTATTATTTTAATAATTCTAAACATAATCTGACAAATTGGGTACTTAATTTTGTTTTATTCATGCTAAACGAGATACCGGATGTGCCGTATCATCGTTCTGTTGGACATTTACATAATATGACGAGTGTTTATCAATTCTGTTTGAGCGTCTACGTTTAGAAGATCTCATTTTCTTTATTGTGGTTTCCCATAGTCTATTATTTTACCAAAGATTTATACGTCTGATGGTCCGTGTTCGAAATTACGCTTCTCGGAGATAAAAACTTATACCGAACGCCGCCGGACACGTCCGCCCTACATAAACCTAATATTTTTCTTCTTCTGCGTATTTATCTATATTATTGTATAGGTACATACACGATGTTCTCTAACATGTAGCTTTTTCAAACACGATATTATCTACTTAGATAGACGCACATAAGTTTCCATTTTACTTCCCAATAGTGTAAACGTCCATAAAAGCTCAACCGCCCGAGATTTACCCCAATCGCTGTTTTAGCCGATCGAAAGCAATTAATAATGGATTTTATTATAATTAAATTACATTGATTTATTATTTTAATCTCATCATACCACGGCAGTGTCGTTATTTTTAACGACTTCTGCAGGAAAGAGTAATACTATTATTATTACTAGTCTCTACAGCTCGGGCACTGGACTTGGATATTTCCGATAGCTTTTCCAGTTGTACCTACACCAAATAATTATGAAAAATAAGAATACTTGCATCGTTTTGACCAGAGTTGTATAAAAAACTCATAGTATTGAATACTTATACGATTTCCGTTATCATTGAATCAATCAATTACTATCTGCTATCTGCAATTTACATAATATAATATAATTGTGTACAAAATACATTTAAGATTTCAACTTACAAACCGTTTAGTGCTTTATACAAATAAAATTCCAATAATTAAAAATGAAATATAGAACAATTTGTAAATCTTTAATTTTAATATTCGTCACTGATGTAGTCATATCGAAATGATATAAAAAACTTATAAACATTGCGTTTTAATACTTATGTAAAGTTCAACACGAAATTCATATTCAAACACTTTATATACGTTGTACTGTTATTCTGTGATAATTGTGTCTTGTTTATTTTATTGCATTTAAAATGATAAAATCTGAATTAGAAATCATGTACGTCAATACTATATTTATAAATTATAACAAAAATAAAAATGTTATTAGTTTTGTATAATTTCACCGATGTTATTTTTATCTCAGTCCTGAATTGATCCCACTAATGTTGATAGTAAGTTATTAATATAGGTAACTCGAGATTTATAATTATGCTTACAACTTACACAATATTTTTCATTATTAAATTATTATACATCACAATCATTCACTTAAATGTGTATTATTATTATTAATGTGTAATAAACTATATATATATATATATATGTATTTTTATGTTGTACACCTACTAATTGCTAACCATTTTATACATAAATCAATTTTTTATTCGTTCATAATAATATTAATACGACTGGTAAATAAATTATAATTTATAAGAAAGCCTAACAATTGAATAAATGAATAAGACATTTAACAAATATATCTGACATATTTCTTAAGAAGATACTTTTAAATTCAAATTTGTTGTTTTTAAAGGAACACTGAAAAAATGTCTAGTCCTAAACATTTAATTATTTTAATGGACTAAGGCTACAATTCTTTTGAACATAATGACATTTTTTTTCCTGGTATAGTGTTCTAGGTCAATAAAACAAAGGGTGCTCATTATACTTTCATGAATATCACCCTTTTCTAAGACCGACACTTGAATATTAATTCATTATATATACAATGTTGTTTTAAGAAATGGTCCCAAAATATTTCTAATTAAATTTTATGCACCATTAAAACAAATTTCATTCAATTCAAATCCGTGAATTTAGATTACCTATACAATTTACTAATATTTAAAGGGTCATTTAAACTCGTAGTTTACTTAGAATCTTCATTTATTTTTATGTTATTGAATTTACATTTGATCAAAAAATTAAATGATAGTTTGCAAAACTGATTTGTTAATAAATTATAAATAATGGTTTTTTTTTGTAGAATTGATGTATTAGGTAGGCGTAGTTAATATTATTAATATTAATAGTATTATAATTAATATTATAATGGTTTCAGCTATAAGAGGTCTCTTCAAAAAAAAAAAAAAATTAACTAATAATTAATAAATTAGATTAAATAATTTATTCCAAAGTAATATTTTTTTTTGTGAACTTAATATGTAAAAGATAAACTGTAAAGTTACTCCAAAGCTTTTGAATACTATCCAAGACCCTAGATTAACCCAATTTTATACGGTACCTACCTCAAAATTGGTAAGTTTATACTGTAAAATTAAACTAAACCGAGTACATATATTATGAATAAGCGATAGTAGTATGGACAACTTGAATATTATACCAACTGATTATTATTTACAAGTTCTTCGACTTTAATCTGCATTGCTTTAGTCTACGTATTTTTTTTTCACAAGAGTTATTAAAATAATAATTTATCTCAAGCTTATAAATCAAATTACTCCTTAAATCTATAATACCGTTCCGCCTTTAAATGCATTAATGTGTGGATAAGAAAATTCATTATGCGATGATAATTGAAGGAGATAAGTGACAACAAGCAGTGTTAATAACCACGAATTGGACTGTTATTACTGGGAGCACATTTAAATAAAGAATTTTACTGTAGAAAACAGTTTTTTTTTAAATTAAATTTGATTTACAATTACAGATGAGCAAATCATCGATTTAAGACTGCGAGAATCAGAATTAATTATTTATGCTTTTTAGATTGATTCCTACCCTTTGAACTATTTGCGAATGGGTAGTACCGAATTTGATCACATAACTTGTGCGAATTCAATTAGTCTTATACGTTTGTATACGATCATCCCGTTCAGATCGTTCGTTAAAATATTGAAAAAATTAATAGTCAACAACAGATTGGAAATAATAATAATTTTGATGATTTCATGGTTTTTCCAGGACTTTTCCGTCGGGCGATACTGCTGTCGGGTTCAGCACTGAGCAGTTGGGCTCTGGTCGAGGATCCCGTATCGTACGCCCTGGACCTAGCCAAGCAGGTGAACTGCACAACCGACGGGACCGGAAACAATCCGGAACCGATCGTGGACTGTCTGCGGGAAGTGCCCCTGGACCTGTTGATGTCTGCCGGCGTCGCGTTGCCCACGTACCTGAGCGCTTTCGGGCCCAGCGTTGACGGGGTGGTGGTGAAGAGCAACTACCAGGAGGACGTCATCACCAATCTGCTACCAGAGTTTGACGGGTACAGCGGGTCCAGCGTGGCTTTCGGTGCACGCAAGTTTCAAAAGTTCGAATTTGGCAGTGGCATCAACAAGTACGACCTGCTGTTTGGTGTCGTCACGAGCGAGGCGCTCTGGCGATTCAGTTCCAACGACATACAGGTAACACTCCCACAACACATGCCAATCTTAAGTCCTCCTGATTCCCTTTCTATAGTCACATTTGATGCACCGTTGGCCTTTGATCGCGTTTCTACTACTGAATACGTACGTTTCGTTCTGTCGATGTTTTTCAACTCTAAAATAAACAAAATGCCAAATGGACGTTTGCCGGTAAAACGCATAACGTCTTAAAAAAAAAAGTATAGTACAAAAACAGAATTATATTTTATATTATCCTTTACCATTCATCAAAAATTGGGATCATCTTTGTTTATGGTTGGACATACATAGTAGGCAGCAAATTCAAACTCTTTTTAAAGACAAAGGAGACATTTCGATGTGCAGGATGTATAACATGAATTATTTTATTTACTTTTGGAGACTTTAAGTTATTAAAATATTTCATTTTAAAGTTCAAATATTATATTATGATAAAAAAACATAATATAAGCACGTACGAAATCATATATGTTCAAAATTTAAAATAATATGGAAATTATGAAACCCTTCCACTTCAATACCTACTCACTATAATAACTAATAAGTAGAATGCCAGTATTCTTTGACTCCCGACAGTTTTTTACCCCTCATAAATTTAAGTTTATTAAAAGAAACTGTATTATAAAATAAAGTTGTTGCTTATAGTATCTTTCTTGTAAAAATTAATTTTTCTTCATATTAAACTATTTTTTTTTTCATTTTGTAACTTTAAAAGTTTTTATAGGATCTATGTAAATAGCTCTTTTGAAGTATTTTTTAATACATTGTTTTTTCTGCGGTTTATTTTGATATAATGCATTTTAAGTTATTTATATCAAATAAATTAATATACCCAGTATTTTTTTAAATTAATAATGATTCCACAATTTAAATAGATGCCTTCTTATTTTTGTGAACAATTATTTACAAAATGCATTACATAGTTAATGTATTTAAAAATTATATCCAGACATTTAAAATAATAATAGTAGACTGAGCAATCTAAAAAAACATCAATGAATCACTAAGTTGTCCATCATTCCTCTGTATAAAGTAATAATGTAATATTTCCTATGAATATGACATAAAATAATTCAATTCTAAAAATTGATTACACATTGAGAATACTTTAGTATAAACCGTATTCCGTTCATCGAATCCTTAAAGACGCAAAATATAATAATATGTCGCTAAAAAAACGCCAATAGAAAATAAATAATAATTTAGTTAAGATATACTTTTATTCATTATGTGTATATGGTAAAAAATTTTTTTAGTTATATGGACTCATATATCAACGTTTTTTTTCATTTTTATCCACTGTGGTTGATTATTTCAGAATTAAACATTTGATTCCGATCATCGAACAAAACGGCGTTGCAGGTGTCCTTAATTGCGTTCATTCCGTATTGAATACGATTTCAAAAACCATTTAATTTCACGTAATTCGATTTCTAATGATAGGCGTGCCCACGATTATGCTTGCATATTAATGTCGTACAAATCCGAAAACGAAATATATTATCATTGGCACCGCCAAGCTGTGATGGCCGAAACGAAAAGCAGCAGAGGTTTGAGTAGAACAACAAAAAACTTTGGTCTCTTTAATTTCTCTTTTAGGTGTTTCCGAAATGACTCTGGAGGGAAATTTCGTTTTAACGCGTATAATACCCGACCACGTTTTTCTGTCACGTCCGATTCCCGTTCCCGGGGGATCGCCAAGTCGTACGAGAAACTTAAAAGTCCTTTTTTTCCCTTCTTTCACCCAGTTTCACCACTGTCTCTCGCGTCACTGTGTGTCTTTTACACACTCTCTCGTCTTCTCTCTCCTTTTCCCTTTCCCCCTCCCGCTCACTCACTGTCTCTGTGCATCTTTCGCCCAATCCCTCTCTATCTCTGACTATCTGTCTATATCTTTCTGATCCTCTCTCTCAATCCCTCTCCGTAATATACATCTGATGCTCTCTCGTTCCAGGCCGGCTTCGAAGGTGACCGCCGAGACAAAATCCTGCGCACTTACGTCCGGAATGCATACAGCTATCACCTGTCCGAGATATTCTTCACCATCGTCAACGAGTACACGGACTGGGAGAGGACTGTCCTGCACCCAATCAACACCAGGGACGCGACGATTGCTGCTCTGAGCGACGCCCAGTACGTGGCGCCTCTGGTGCACACAGGTGACATGCTCAGCCAGCCGAAGACACCTGCTGCCGACGACCTCAACAAGGACCGCAGGACCAAATCCTTTTTCTACGTGTTCGACTATCAGACCAGGGACGGTGACTATCCTCAGGTTGGTACATCTATACATTTACCAAAGTACTATAATGTTTATAGAGGACATCACGATATTTACATATTATTGTAACATAGTTTTAATATGAAGTAGTTTCAACGTGGTTAGGAATCGCATGTCATATGATTTTATGAGAAAAATAGATCATTAAAATTGTGATAGTCCCATGCATCGCCCAATCCCGAGATTTCGCTTACCATAACTTTACATCATGTCTATATAATTATGGAGTTATAAAACAACCAACTGTAGGTAGCTGCGTATAATCTCGTCGATTCAAAATTCTCGATCTACTTAGTCTTACAAAAAAAAAACGACAATGCCGTGCAATGTAATAGTATAACTACTGTTATAGCAATAATACTTTACACGGCAGGTATACGGGCGGTCCATTAAAATGCATAAGAGAGAATCTGAAAACGTACGACACAATTTTCAAACAAAACAAAATTACAACTCCATATTGGACATTTTTTTAGAATAAATTAAGAAATACAATTATATTATATTGTACTGAAAAATATGATTTGTAGTACTAAAATAAAAAAAAAAATTAAAAAAAATATTGAAATTGTTATTGCACAATATTGTAGTATACAGCTAAAATATACCCTCAAATAATTTATTAATCATTTATCATCAAACATTTTTAAAACAATAATCAATAAACTATAACAGTCATTAAATTTTAGAAATTATAAGTAAAATAAATTAAATAGTTTTTTTTTCTCATACTACAACAAATAAAAAATAAAGTTGTATTGATGTATTATGCTCTAGTCTCTAAGTCGTTATTAATTACTACAACAAAATAAGACAACAATTACATTGACTTAAAAATTGTTCATGCGATTAAAATAAGAAATTAATGAATAAATAACGAATCAATTTAAAATGCGTTGGTACATTGAAAGTTTACACTCCCTTGGGCTTAATCAATCTTATTGTACAAGTCTTGAAAATAAACGATTAGATTTTAAATAAATGATGATTGAGTACATCTTTTAAAATAGGTGCATAAAATATCTCGTCGTAGTGAATATTTAATATAAAAAAGATGATTTGTCATAGAAATATGCAACTTATAATAATATTGCACCTCAAGTAGGTATACCTAAAATGTTTTTATAATATATTAATTTCGTTCCTTTCTAGACAGTTGAAAAATTACTTTTTCTTTGTTTTGTTCAAAAAATGAATAAATATTCTGCAACAAATATTGTTTTAAATTCAAAAAATAGATCGTTCCATTTCTTCTAGGTTAGGCAACCCTATTGAAATTCGTTATTTTATTCGAACAAAGTTTTGAATGATTTAGGGTATTCGTTGGAATTGACTGTGCACTGTTTTGTTTCTATCCAATTCGCCAATTTCCAACAATTTAATCAAATCGATGTGTACTTTCAATTCCAATTTCAACTTTAGTAAGTTCACTAAATCTACGAGAGTTAGATGTTTATACATAAAGTAACTGTAACAATAACTTTATTTTTAAAAAACGAATGTTTTATTTCATCGTTTTTTATGAATGGATTTTATTTGAAATCTAAGGTCTAATTTATAACTATATTTACACTACAATATTTGTGTAGTAAATAGTAATATATATGAACTAATAATATACTAATATATAATTATTTGTAGATATTCTTATAATGTTTTTAGATTATTTCTTATAATTGTCATAACTCGATCATGAATCCGAAATTCATAAAAACTAGGTACGTAAAAAAAGTTTTCAATTGTATTATTAATACAAGTTCAACTATAAATATACCATTTTTAAATTAAAATATAATATTAGTTTTCTGATGATTTTTTTTACACAGATTATACTAAAAAAAAAACATTTAATTGATTTTATTGTGCAATTTCGTATTTAAAATTTTAAACATTTACTATTTTCTGTCTTTATATATTATATTTCATATTAAACACAGATGTACTTAACAACAAAATATTATTATGATTATAAATAATTAAAATCCACAGAGACTATGCCATAGACAATAATATAAATTTTTTGAAATCGATAGTTTTTTATACTATACCAATACGCGTAAAATAATCATAGTGTATGACATCTACATATTTGAAAAATTACACATAATAATATTAAGTACCTAAATTAAAGTTTAAGTGACTGATGTTGGGAAAACTCATCAAAAGTTTGAAATATAGGAATTTGTCCTTATCATAAATACAGACATTATGTAACTAAAAGTTTTAAGACTTAACTTAAAGTTAAAAATACATATTAAACGACCATTAATGTAAAATAACAAAAATATTATTACTAAAATGATATTACAATACAAATATACTATGTTAAGTATATTATTTACCATTATGACGAAGAGCTAAATATTTGTATAGTTTCCATTTTAATTATTTTACTTCTCAATGACATAATTTGTATGTATGAAATTATAAATTTAAATAAATGATGAAAAACTATAATAAAACTTTGTCTGCAATAAATCTAAAATCATTATGTATTGTAATATCCTTAAATTACTATTGACCATCAATTTTATATTCATATATGTTTCAGAAATAAATATACATAAACAATGAGGAGATTGGATCAAAAATCAAAATTTAGACTATAATACGTTAATAACCACTTTGTAGCATTTTTATCACAATAGTAATTTGAAAACAAACAAATAAATAACTCATTATCTGATAATAATTATAATATCACTTTGTTTTCTCCGTACTTCTATACGCGAATATTTCTGTCAATTATTAGTAGATTTTTTAAGAGATACTTCCAAAAGAAGTATAAGAGAGATTGTAAAAAAAAAAATTATCGTCAAAGTTCAATTTCGACGGGCACACCTCTGTACATTATCTTATGACGTATATTATTTTTTTTTTTTATCGACCTTTACGAAATGTCTAACAACAAAACCGACTCAGTGGCGTATTTATGTTGTTTGTGTGGTCTCCGGAATACAAATACAGTATATTGTAATTCCGAACAGTTTGTATAAACATCGTGGAACGTATAATATTATTATTATTATTATGTATATACGGACGAGTCTCATTTTGATTTGTTACGGCGTAAGACAACGTTTTTGTTTCGCATGACCATATCGTATAAATAATACGAATATGAATAGGTTGACAAATCACATACACACGTGGCACATGTTTTTCGTAATATATAGGCATGTATACGGAGACACCGGCGCATGTATTATTGTTATTGATGCCATCGCGGGTGTACGAAGGGACGTAGAACGCGTGCTACACCCACTTATGTACCGACGAGGCACGGGTAGTAAGCCAATATAATAATTCGAAAAAACGTCAGAAAGCAGATGAGTTGGTAGGTAGGTGGAGATGGGGGT